CCTCAAAATCTACCTTCTTTACGCTACAATGCCCTCCTCCCTGCAGCAGACACATTTGCACCCCACCCAGCTTCCCTTTCCTGTCATAATCCCTATAGGGAAAATAATTTCTTATATCTAATTCAATCACAGCATTAGCTTACTTTATCTTAGAAGAAAAACTGAGCAGTATTTGATCTCTGATGCATTAACAGAAGATCAGGGAATGCCATCCTTTCTCTTTCTAAGTGTTTACTGCTCCTCTTCGGGAAAGAGTAAGTTAGAGGAGGGTAGGGACTTGTTTGTTCATTTCTGTACCCCAGTACGGAGAACAGAACCTGTTATGGAATCATTAGGGTGCCAACACAGTGCATGAATGAAGAGGGTTGGAAGTGGCCAACACAGGGGCCAGGCTTTCACAAATAAGCCACTGCAGGGGCTGGACCTGCTATGGCTACAGCCCTTGCACCTAGTGGCCTGCTATGTGCTCTCGGAGTGCAGGTGATAGGATTGCCATCTTCTGGTAAATCAGGTGAGGTTCTACAGAAGTCTGTACTTTGTAATAGGCATATGTTAAGGCAGTAAATGAAACTGTAGGAACCAGTTTAACTAGAAATTATTCAGCAGACATCCACCATGTTAAACCACAAGACACTTCAGCCACTTCTAAGCAGCTTTGTTTGCTTAGAATTCTGTAATTCTGAATTTCTTTGTAGTATGGTTATAAAGACCCATCTCTCAATAATACACGTATAGACAAAAGAGCCTTACAGAGGAATGCCCTGCTCAGAGTAGTATGACCATATTCCTGAACAGAACAGGAAGACACTGTGGAACAAAGCAAGCACACCCCCTTACCTTCTGGGGAAAATCACTTTTGCATGGCATGGGTAAAAGGTAGAATCTAATCATGCAGACCCTTAAGGGCTGAATAAAAGCAACTTTGGGGAAAGCTATTCAGGCCATTTTCTGAGCACCCATATTGGCCTTGTCAGCATTTAATGCAAAATAAAGAATATTAAACTTATTCTTCATCAAGGGAGGATTTACATTTTAAGCAAGCAATTCCAGCCCTCCTGCTATGAAGAGTATGTCATTTTCTAGAGAAAATCAGACAAACAGGGTTCTAAGTGTTAAAATCTGTATGAGAAATGAGGATGACATTAAGCATTGGCATTTTGTCCTAAATTTTGTCTTTTTAGCAAGAAATTGGATAAAATCACAGAAGGCATTTTTACCCACTAGTGCTAGGAGATGTAGTTGACATACTGGACAAAGTAAGATTAAAAACATGCTGAAATACTGGAATGGAACTAAACAAGAGAAAATAGATATGAAACAGTCTGATGCTCTGGTCAGCTAAGTCATCTGACCAGTTAAGGGCAGTCCATGAAAACAGGCATGGGATTTTATGAGCCAATACTGGACATACCCTCTACAACATGGTATGTCATCTGATGGAGGAGATTACAACTAGTAGTCTCAGAACTAGGAGATGAATTTGGATTAGTGAGATTCCATCTACAGTATTGTGCTCCATTTTGGATGCCCTGTTTTATATCCATAGTTACACTCCAGTGTAAATCCAGAGGAAGGTGACTGGGATATGGAAAGGTCTGAAAATATACCAATACAAGGAGCAAGTGGAGAAACCAAGGCCCTTTGATATAAATGGAGAAGATTAAGAGAAAAGACAATCTATTGTTTTCAAATATCTAAAGCCTTAGAGACTGCCACTGGCCAAATGTGGTACAATGTGGATTAAAATGAATGCCGGATAGTAATGCATTATTACTCATGAAATAATAAAATAACCCATGAGCCAATGCTTAGATTCTAAAGACTAGTAAGTGGAAAGAGGAGTAAAACTGTTCTGTTTACAGGTAGGTGAACCGAAGCTCTAACCCTTTAGGTCTAACATAGGGAAGAACCTGCTGACAGTTCGTTAACAAATGATCAAACTAGAGGTCAGAACTCTACTCAAGAACCTTCAGAGGTCTTCACAGTCTGCTACATCATTGTCTACTCTTTTTCATAGTATATCAATGTTTGCTTTCCCCCTAAAAAAGGTGGGAAATTAACTTTTACTGAGTGTCCAAGAGGTGCCAAGTAAATATATTTTACTTAATTTTCTCAGGGGCACCATAGATGGATATTAGCTTTGTTTTACAGAAAGGACCATTAAGTGCAACAACTCATGCAATGTGACATGGACAGTTAGTGCTAGAGGCTTCACCCAGGTGTGTCCAAGCTCCCTCTTCCACGCACCACACAAAATACACGCAGGGATATTGGAGGGATGCCCTAGGCCACCACGGTTCCTCAAGTTGGTCTGCTGTGTCCTTAAATTGTTACTTTTTCTTCCACTACCCAGCTCCAAAGTGCCACTCTTCTGTTCCTCTGAATTAGAAGAGGAAACTGGGATCACTAGAAATCCATTATTAAAAGGCACTGATACCTGTGAGCTACCTCTGCCCATTCCCTCCCTATAGTCAATTGTATTTGCCCTTCTGTTGATTATAGCTCAGTTTACCAGAATCAATCCACTTTGCTACCCTTCTCTTCTTCAGAGTGTGTTCAACGGACCACTTAGAGACCAGTGGAGAGCAATTCCTGGCTATAGTTATAGGGAAATGTAACACTGTTGATGACATCTATGAATTCAAAGTTACCAATGAATGGTTCCTCTGAAGAAGGGAAATGCATGGCTGTTCCTTATCCCTACTGAGTAAGAACATTCTAAATTATAGTGCATGGTTACAGACAGGCCCTCTCTTTATTTTTTCTGACAGCGTGCCTATTTCTAAGTGATTTTCTAGGGTTCCTGTATAGAAACCTAGATAATAATAGACTTATTATCTCCTGACCTGCTGCCCACATTTCCTAAGGCCTGAGAAGTTGGGGATTAATTACTCAACAGGCCAGGTCCCCCCGCTGACTCAAGCTTTCCATTTGGAGGTAAGGAAATCTAAGCTTCTTTAGTGTATTTAAAATCTGATATTTGTATGTTAGGCTGCTTTGAGATTACTTGTTTTAACCACCTCTTCATGGTGAAGTTCCCTGGAATAGGGGATCTGTCCCTTCTATCCATCCCACAAGTATTTCCTGAGCATTTCTGTGTGCCCTGTGCCAGGGGTTAGCACTGAAATAGACACAACCCACCTTCATTAGGGTGTAACAGCTTGGCTCTCAGAGATAGACATGAAATGCAAATTATACAAATAGGGCTTCACGAATAGTTCAAAACTCTCCAAAATTTTAGATTTTCAGCAGAGAGCTTGGATGAATGCTTTTTCACAAGTATGAGATAGTTTATATGGAATGGAAAGACTGACCAGCTGAGTTGACCTAAGCATTAGGAATTCAATGCTTTGACTTGCAGAGGGGAAAAAAATCATGAAAGTGCATCAGCTGGGTTCTAGTTTCTGTTTTTCCACTAACTACTAGAATTCTTTTGGATGAATCACTTCACTCTTTCTGGGCCTCAATCTCCTTACTTATAGAGTAATGTGTATGTATCGTTATCATTAATAGTGAAAGGTTTGCTGTTAGAGGTGTTCTAACTTAGCCTCACTTCCCTTGCAAAGAGACAAGGAGCGGTTGGGGCTACAGGCTTCCTAAGACAAATGGCTCTAACACGGGCTTCTAAGTCAGGGTTGTAAGGAAGATGGAGGAGCTGCCAGAAGGACTGAAGTCCCTGGACCATGAAACGAATAGGCTGTTTTGAACATGAGAAGCACTGCACTTTACTTACCACCCACTGACTTTTATATTTAGGGTATTCTAGCTTACATTTCTAATCAACAGATCAGAGGAGAAACTAAAATACAGAAATCGTTCTCTTTGTATGTTTTTATAAGTGAAAAAACCCTAATTTTCCATTCACTCTTACAGTCAAGAATGGCGTAGAAACTTGATGATAGAATTACCTTAAATGTCTATGAACACTAGTCTAGAGCATGATTGGCAGGACTTAGTGCCATGATCTTAGGATATTTGGGGGCACAATCTTTCTTTTCCTCAGTAAGAAAAAAAATTGGAAAAGTAATGAATATAAATCATCTTTAAAAAAATACCTGTGACTTAACTATAATAAAAATAAAGCAAGGACACAGGCTGTTGCCTGTGGCTGAAGTAGTAGAACAAAACACTAGGGGTAGATAAAATAGAGCCTAATAGTCTTTGAAAATCCATACCATCATTAATAAAATCACAAATATGTAACAAAGATTATTTTATATTCTTCCAACCCTGAAGTAAGCAAATGAGAGTAGGGTCAGAGGCAAAACCCTTTCCTGTCCCTGCTGCAAGTTCGGACAACTGAATTCCTCACCTAGTTTGAGCAAATACCTAGGCTCTTTGCTATAGCCTCCCTTTCTCCCTCCCATCAGAGCTCCTAACTCTGCTTACTTGCTCTAAAATATAAAAGAGCAAGTGACCAGGCTTTCTCATGAAACTACCAAATCCTGCTTCATACACTGCTTCCTGGTCGTCTGTCCTCATGAATTGAGCCCCAACAATCTGGCCAGAGGAAGGCATCATTTCTAATAGATAAGAGGCTCCCCTATCAACCAGCATCTCTGGCACCATTTCCCAAATGGTCTTGGTCCAACTTTGAGATAAGCCCCATTCAAATCATTATAAACGTGAGCTAATCACAGCCCCTAAGCCCTCAGGAAACTATCCAGTTTTAGTCTCCCTAAGTCTCAATTTTCCAGAAGGTAGAGCAGCCCAAGCAGCCCAGGTGGCACACCTTAGAAGGCAAGAAGAGCCAGACTTTCTCACTATTCACTGTCCCCACTTCTGCTAAACTCACAACATGAGAGACCAGGCTGACCGCCCCAATGTCCCCTCAGACAAGGTTTTCACACGGTGACATACCCTGTTCTTTCCCCTGGCACAAAGAACAACCAGCTCTTGAAGTTAGGCTCCATAGTGGCAGAAATTCCTCAGGGGGTATCTGCACTGGTGGTTAAGTCAACAAAGAGTCTTGGGGAAGGAAGGCTGGAACGCTGTCCTACCTTGTCACTGTCCACTGTGTTCTGAGAGGTCCTAGAAGCAATGGAGATGGTGTCTGGCTGGCTGCTCCCATCCCCCTGGCTGTCGATATCCTCCACTCCATCCCTGCAGGAAGAAGAGAAAAAAAAACAGGGGTGGGGGTGGGGGGACCACTGTGGGTTTAGAGCACACAAGGATTTCCAGCTGAGCTGGCAGAGCAGAGCCTCAGCACTTTCTAGCAGGGATTTGTCTAAAATTATCCCATTAAAGGGAACTATATGATTTTCAGTGATATTACCTCTTGCATTTAGTAAACATGAAACCACTGTGTTGATAACTGAAAACGAAAGGGCCCCTCCCCATTGCTCCTCCAGCCCATGTTGCAGAGAGGATTTTTTTTTTTTTTTAAATAACTGGGAGTGCATCTATAGGAAGGGAGCAGTAGGAAGGGAGAGCCTAGGTTTCAATCAGCTGATGGAGTAGATCATCTCCAACAATCCCACTGTTCAGCATAGTCAAATAGTTTCCCTGCACAGTCTGACAGAACTGAGGATGGTTTGTAGTTGGCATATATATATATATATATATATATATATATATATATATATAAACTGTTAAGATTTTGGTTTTTGACTTGTATTTCTTTGCTCAAGAAAATTGGGTGGGATATTTTCTCCAGGGAGATTCTATTTTGGAAGTTTTTGACATTGGACCTTCAACTCCTGGGTTTGGAGGAAAAATTTATTGCCCTCATTTAACTGGTCTTGCTTAACCCATCCAGAAAACCAAGGAACCTTCTCAAAGACCAGAAAACAGTTACAGATTCCACGTAGCTTCAGAGTCACCTGCGCGCTCCCACAGATCTGACAAGACATCCCCCTGACTGCACTCCTACTATTTGGGCCCTGTGTTGATAACTGAAAACGAAAGGTCCCCTCTCGATTGCTCCCCTCCACACAGCTGTCCATCTGTATGTTCTTTCAACATCCCAGCTTTAGAACTGTGCACCAGTCCTCCACTGAACTCACATCCAGAGTCAAGAGGGATTATGTGCCTGAACTGGTGAAGGCACAATGAGGAGAAAATACAGGAGCGATAGGCCAGGTATTGGATAAATTAGCACAGGAGATGATGCTGGTTACAGGACAGGGGACTCATGGCTGGAGAATATCTCCACAGGGGCAAAGTGTCCCATATACCGAGGCTTCCTCACAGAGTCTAAAAGATCACCATGAGGTGTATGTGTCTGTGGACAAGTGTGTGCATGTGGATGTACATGTGCACACATATGTTATACACAGTGTCCACTAGTCATTAAAAGGATTTTCTCCCATTCAGAACACTTCTAAGTTCATTGTTCTCTCAGCAGCACTTGTGGGCTTGGGAAATGCTAACTTATTTTAATAATATAAGCCACATATTTGTAAGGAAGGAAATTCTGCTGTAAAAAGTTGTGTGATGCATCTCAAAACCAAAAATAAAGGACTTTTAGATCATCTGTTGTTTTAGATTATCTGTGCCACTGTTCCCCACCACTTGCAGATATTTAAGAGTTGGCTATGCTTTCTGCTTCCCACTTCTCTGGCCCATTGCAGGCCCTTCTGGTCCCTCCAGATGACGCAGTTCTGGAGGATGTGGGGAGCCTATCCAAGAGTGTGGGTGGTATTCCCCAAGCCCATCCCCTCTTCTGTAAACTCTGTTCCCATATTCAGGGAGCCAACTAATGAAATGAGACTGCTGGCTATTCTTAGCAGTCTGCCAAATATTCTTACCCCGTCATCATGGACAATGACAGAGAAAAGGTAGCTGGCATTTCCAAGATATTCTTTCCATATTCTAGAAATGCTCAAATTCTCCTAATGTAGGTAAAAGGGACTCTTTCGTAGTGTAACTTTAATATCACTTGAATATCCCTTGCCACCATAGTCCTGGACATTCAGTTACTGAAACTGTTTCCTCTCTAGTATCTTAAGACAGGGGCCTCCTGCAGCAGTGTAAAGTGATTATCAGGCTTTTCTGCCCTCCTGCCATTAGCATTAATGATGGATCTCAGCAGTCCTGAATGCATGCCTGATGGCGGGCACCTGGAATAGGGTGTGGGCATACATAGGTGGTTACACCTGGGCTGAGACTGGGGCTTATAAGGGTGTCATCATGGGAACCAGCAGAATGAAAGAGAAGCAGAAGAGAGAGAAGCAGAGACCACGAGAGAATGCTAGAGAGCCCAGAAAGAGTGAGGATTCGCTGGGGCTAGGGGGCCTGCCAGCCTCCTGGCTCCCCAGCACAGCTACCTGCCATGTACCTGGTAAAAGCTCAATAAAAGCCTGAAAAGCCACCAAGGGCTCCAGGACCTCTCCTTTACCCAACTGCTTGAATCACAGAGATCCTGAACTCTGCCTTCCTGCTGCTACAAGCAGGTTCTGTCTCTAGTGTTAAGCTAAATCTGCCTCTTATCTGGTAACTGATACCAACATAACCCCTCCGTCAATACAAGTATTACCTGTCCTTCCAGCACCAAGAGGCTACCCTATTCTGGCCACGCAGGTCTTAGGACTTCTGCCCCGTGGAGTTACACTGGCCTTAGTCACACCTCCCTCTGCATGGCTGCTGTACACCACAGGTCCTACAGAGGCTCCCCAGCCTGCATATCCTACTTGGCACCAAAGATGAACAAAATCTCCTCAATTGGTTTCATCCATGAATAGGGAAGGAGTGTTCACCACTAGTCATCTTTATCCCTAGAACTCTGTTTCTGTTATATTTTTCCTTCAAACTTTGCATGAAGTTATTGTATACTTCCGTTTGAAGTATCCTCCAGAAAAGAATGTCACATGGAGACTTAAGAAATACTGAAGCCATCCACTTGTCTAAGAGAAACTGGGAATCAGAAGGGCACAGAGAGATGCAGATATAAGAAATAAGCCATCTTCTGTTTATCTTTGATGAATGAAGGTGAAGTGTATACAGGGAGGAGGCGTGTTGCTGTAAGAGCTGCAAAGATTACCCCACACCATATTAGCCCTCCCAAGTTGAAATATGCAAAGCCCTCTTACTGTCTAACCAGTTCTGAGAGTCCCCCACTAAGGGCTCATGTCCTTTCCAAATCCTCCCCCAGAAACTGCAATCTAGCGCCCACGGGATGTCCCCTCTCTGTGAGACATGACTCTTAGATGGTTGTTGAGGTAATGGGCTCATCTTATATTTCCTTTTCTCTTCTTGAAGCACTGAGTAGGGTGTCTATCAAACCAGAGGTGCTCAGTGAAGCCCTGCTGAATTGAATTGACAGTAATAGTGAGAAGTTTAAAGGTGAGGCAACTCATCCTAGGCAGAACTCAGCAGGGGCTTCATGGAGAGAGATGCCACCTGCAGAATGCATGGCCCCTGTGGAAGCAAAGTTTCACCCCATTCCCACTCCCAGAAGCATGTGAAGCAGGGTTGGGGGAGAGACGCTGGTTACCTCTTACTATTGTTCCTCTGTTTGGCTGGTGTTTTGGGGAGCTGAATTGGCTCCTTTAAAGCGCCTTTCAGGTGAATGATCCTTTCTTGAATCACCTCTCGTATGTTCTTGATCCACTCCTGCTTGGTTTCTATGTTGGAGGCCTGGAGTGCCACAGGTAGAAAAAGTAAGAACCCCACATCCCTTCATGCCACCAAAACAGTTTTCTACCCTCTTCTTACAGGCTTCATCCATTACTTTCAAGGATACCAGGTGTTTTAGGAGTTTCTTGTTTTTATACTTACGACTCTTCATTCTGAGGACATGTTTCTTCAACTCTTAGGACAGGGTTATGACTTCAAGATTCAATGCAGATTTGCACAGTGATTATTTTCAAAGAATTTAACAGCCTGAGGCTGAAGCAGTCTTTGGAGAACTCCCACTGGGTCAGAGAGTCACACTTCAATGGCTAGACTTAGGGAGGTCTGGGGGGCACTGGGCAGGGCAGCAAGGGGGAATGCTAAGGCAGTGGCTACTTACCAGCTGGTAAGGTGCCTGATATTCAAGATATTCGGTGCCTGTTAGGGCTACACAGGCATGTACTGACTGAAAGTCAGTTCTGGGTTTTCAGCCTGGTAAACCTGTTAAATGAAGGCACTACTACCTTTCTGTGAATAGTCCATTTGTTTTTGTGGAATTTTTTTCAGGTAACCATCTCGTGACAGGTAGCAACTACAATAGCAGTGCAGAGGAGTGCAAAGCTGTTATCAGGGGTGCACCATCTTTTCCTTGGCTACAGACACTTCCTAACAAGCAAATGGCTGGAAGATGCTCCAGTTGCAGGAAGCCTTTTCAGTCAGGCTAACTACTGCCTGCCTGCCCAGACTGCATGTGCTCTGGGGAGCAGAGGTGACTCTTCAGGACTGTCATTTGGTGAAAGGCCCCTTCTTGATACTCCTCTCAATCAGCACAGCCCTAGGCTGCTGTGATTTACTAGGGTTTATAAGGTATAAGTTCCCAGGAATAGGGTCTATATCTCATAGGTAGTTGCTCCCCACAGCACTGAGTGGAGTGCCATATATGTAGAAATTATTTACGAAAAAACGGTGAATGTTGAGCAAATCAAGATGTCTTTTGTCAAAGAGTCAACTGTTGTTCTGTCGCTTGACAATGAACAGGACATTTAATAAGTGGGCCCTGGTGGACGCCTCGGAGGCTACTCTTTGCCCTCCTCCCTCTGTGCTCACACAAATGCATGGACTGGGGAGATCATTACTTGTTGAGGTTTCAAGTCTAGTTTCGTGATAGGATTTGCTTCTCAATACCCATATGATGCTGCCATTCCCCAGAGACGACCAGCAGCTCAGTAGAGACTTCAGGCCCAGCTTTTAGGTATAATACACCCATACCCCTCCGCCCCAGCCCTGGTCTTGTGCCCAGCAGAGAGCAGTACTTACTTTCAGCACTGTTTTATTGTCTGAAGATGGGGTGCGCCCAGACCACAAGGCGAATTTGCAGGGATCGCCCTCTACATGCTCAGTCACACCCAGCTCTGAGGTCTGTAGACAGGAAATGCCTGTGAGAGGCGGGGAGGGGAGGGCAGTGGGGAGACTTAGGGCTGGGGTGGGAAGGGAGAGGCAACAAAGAGGAGAGGACGATGGGAGGGGCTTCTGTCAATCAAACTTAAACAGATTGGATACTTTGTTCATCTACCCAGGATGAAAGGACCTACAGGCACAGTGCCTGATTAGCAGGTAGCAGGGAGGGAAGGTGAAGAGGGAGGAGCTAAAGGCAAACAGGAAAAAGAACGGAGTACTCTAAAATACAGAAGTGGGAGTTCAGGAGTTCAGGGTGGGAGCTTTCCAAATAGGAGGCACTTTCATTTGTCCAGGATGGTTAGGCGTGGCACCAGGGGCACAGATGAGCTGAATGTTTCAAGATCCCTTCCTGCCCAAGGGCTCTATGAAAACAGTGAGTTTTGTCTTACCCCACCTGCCCCACCTACCAGTAGCTTGTTCTTGTAAACATATTTCGTGTGTCCTGAAGAGTCTTTGATCTCCTTGCTAAAAACCAAGGAGATCTCAAAGAGGAACAAGTGCCGCTCCCGCCCCTTCCGGATCAGCGACTTAGGGTCCCACACTTGAAAGGCATCCTGGAGAATCAGCTCCCCCTGCACATCCAGGTTCTCGTCGAACCCTGAAAAACACCCATTTCCACCCTGTGGAGTTCCTCTAGTGCCATGTTTGAGAAAGGCTTCCCAAACTGTTAGCTTTCAGCTCCACGGCATTTTCCCTCTGATTCCCGAGGCTCCTGTAACTGGAGGCAATGGCTCTACAGTGACCAGACCCTGCGTTCCGTACTGCACTGCCTGTAGACCTGGTGGGTGTTACTGAGTCTCCTACAAAGGTCTTGTGCAGACCCTGCCTCTCCCCTGCCTCCTGCCAGGGCAAACCTCATCACTCCTTCCTCCACAGCTCCAGCCTCGTCTCAGCGCGGGCCCGGGGTGGGGCTGAAGACAAACACTGCTTGATGGAGTGTCCTTGACTCCACATGGTCATTCCTTTGTTTCTTATGTTCCATTCCTAGGACTCTTTTCTTTGTTTCTGTACAGAGTGGTGCAAAAGCCTTCAACAGCCTATACCATTTTAAGTTTTAACAGGTTCTGAAACTTTGGTGTGCATAAGAATCAGCTGGAGGACTTGTGCAAACACAGATTCCCACCCACCCTTATCCCCGGAGAAACAGAAAGTCAGTAGGTGTTCAGCTGACGAATTTTACATTCTGACAAGCTCCAGGTGCTGCTACTGCTGCTGGCCCACAGAATACAGATCAGGGACAGGCTGGAGGCGAAGGGTACTCATATAAGAAAGCATCCAGGTATAGGGTTGGGGGCAGGTGCAAACAAAAGAAAGGGACAGAGAAATTATGACGACAGGGATATTGAGATAATTAGTGATGTCTGGAGAAGGTGACCAAGTATTCTTTGATGAAGAACTGGGGTTTCCTGTGCTAAGGGTGGGCTAGGAAGTACTTACAAGGGGCATCGACAGGAGAAGTTTTGGGGGGAGATGAAGCCCAGTAGAGAAAAACAGCCCTCAGGTTTGCATATTTACAATGTAGGGCACTTACTTCCCTTGAGGCCTCTCTACTAGGCCAGACTCAGATGTTGAGATTTAACTTCTTGGCAATTCCCACCCCATCTCCATTGCAGTGTTGCAACCATGATATCGATGTCTCACTTGACCAGGTCTGTAGGTCCCACGAGCATCGTTCCAGTGTACTGAATGTATTTTGATGAAGTCCTGTTAAGGTTTCTCTGGCTGAACTTTTCTTACCTACTAGGAAGGGCATAAGGGTAGTTGCCCAACAATTTGACTATATTTAAAATAGAATGGTAAATTGTATGTATATTTTAGCACAATAAAAAAAAGGCATGAGTCTAAACACATTGTGTGTGTCTGTGTGCGTGAGTGTGCACATGCACATTCTACTTACAATTTGTAATATGCTATTTCTGATGACTAATGCAAAGCTAATGCTATGCAAATGAGCAGAACTGCTGTGGGTCAAGGTTCCAGCACATTTATAGTAAGGATGACAGCCTGCCCTATTCTATCTCACAGGCAGTACGTTGTCTATTGTCTACATGTCTGAAAGACTTAGGTCCGGTCCTACCTGGAGCTGGGGTGTCAACCAAGCTGGTCTCCAGGGAGAGCCTCTCATACCTCCCCACGACTTACATAACACTTGTCACTTCTCCTCTCTTCCAGCTTTGCCCCTGGCCTGACTTCATGTCATTTCCCTCCCACATGCTCCCCAATCTTGGGAAATGAGGCGGCTCCTCAAGGAAGGCTGGGAGGACAGCTACCTTCCAGCATGCTGACATGCATGGCATCATTGGCTTTCTTTGGGACACTGAGCATCACTTCCAGGCCATCCTTGAGCTCCCCTTTCCCTTCTTCACAGCAAGTTAAAAGTTCCTGGGGAAAAAGTCCAGACACAATTAGAATCCCTTCCCCCAGCTTCCCCACCTTCCCACCCCCTAACCCATTAAGGCAATCTTATACCAACTTTGTTCTCTGCTATGGTTCCCTCTAAGCTGTTAAGTAGGGTGGGGTGGGAAGCTAGCTCTAAAGAATTCAACCACTGTTTTTTCCCCAGACTGAGCTTCCTCAGCTCAATTTAGTTCAAACTAACTCAGTTCAACCCAACTTGTAAATGGGTAGCACTATATATCAGTGATCAGGGCAGCCTCATCGCTGGACTGCCCTCCAGTGATGGACTTCATGGAGGTCATGTGGGGACTTGAATCCAGGTCTCCTGAATCCAAGTCCAGTACTCCCTCAACTATGCCAACATTCTCTCCCCCATATCTTTGACCACATGGAGACTTCCTGGAACATACCCTTTCTCTTCCACTTCCTCATTGGAAACTAGGCCATTACCATCTCCATGAAAGCTATATAGGATCAGATAATAATTTCCAACTACGGAATCACAAAGACTGTTTATAATGATATTGCTCAATACAGTAATACTGGCTTTTTATTTTCCCTATTGGGGTGATTATCTCGCTCACTTTGACACTGGGAAGAAATAGTTAAGCAGCAGCTCTGCAATCCATATACTTTTTCTTTTGATTGGGAGAGGCAAGGGGGGTAGGTGGATGGATTGGGGGTGCACTTCCAGGCAAGAAAGAAATTGACCAGATCAAACCTTGTAAAAATGTTAATGACAGATGTCCTGGCAAATACTAGCAGGAGTGTCCTTATCTATGGAATGCTTTTAGAATACATCTGCCTGTCTAGAACTTCATACCATAAACAAACCTGGATTCTCTGGAAAATGTCTCATAAACGATGCAACTCTTCAAGTAAAAAGTGAATACATTTCATGACCAAAATGACTCTTCAGGGTAAGTGATATGCGAGGTCATTTAAGAACCTTGCATGTTAATCTGGGAAGGAGATACCCTGATACTGCAAGAAAGGACAGGAAGGTGGTGGTACCTGGGCTTTTCTTTGTTTTACCTCTGCCCCGGGGTTATTTGTATCTTTGAAATCATTAGTAAAGCTTTATACTTGGTAAGTTATCTGATTAGACCAACAGGAAATCCAATTCTTTGTGTTATCTTAGGTACATTCTCATAGGAAGAGGAGAGCTTTGTGTCTAAAAAAGAGTGAATTGCCCAAAGAACACGTTTTCAGCCCTGTCTTTGGTTGTAGCTGGTGTGATGGCATTATTGTTCAGGAAGGTGTATTTATTTCTGCTGATCTGAAGTTTGCTGATTCTCCCCTACCCTTCTAATATTAATCCTCCCAACTTTATTCTCATGTATTTTCAAAGGAATGCCTGTGGTAGAAACATCAGAGGGAAACAAGAAATATTTTAGTATAGGAGATGCCTAAGCAAGCAAGGGAAGTAAGAAATATGCTTCCATTTGCAACACAAAATACTAATTAGTTTAACCCCAAAGCAATTTAGTGAGGCCACCAATCTGGTAGCAAAGTCAATAAGTCCTTCTTGGGGCTTTTCTATAGTTTATGGTAAAGAGAAGGGGCCATATTTTATCTAGTCTCTAAAAGGACAGCTACTGAAGATTTAAGAGAGTATTGAACACTGACATACAGTTTTCTCTTTTATGCAACAGCTAAAGTGACGAACCCCAGAGGACACTGATAATTAAATATCAATTTACTTGGAATAAACCTGACTTTAATGAGAAAATAAATCCCATATTATTTATTTCTAGTAAAAGCTCAGCAAACTGTTTTTCTTTTTTACTCAGCAGGCACCCTGCTATCAGTATATTTATGAGGTGCAAATTATCTTTTTTCTCTGTCACCCCCCAGAAAGTTTATAACTTCCCCACAATCAAATTCCTGCTACTTCATTTTTTCACTTTTCAGTTATCTACATGGTCACTTCTTAAAACATCCAATTATGGTGTGAATGCCCACAGACGACCTCTCCATCTGTCTAAAGTAAAACACTGCGTTGTGTTTTACTATCCATCCTCCACTGCCCTCCCTTGTCCATTTCATAAAATGAGTCCTAGGAAACTCAACCTCATGGGATTAAAAGGGAGAGGTTATTGTTTCTCTAAAAACTACATCCTATTAATTTAAGACATTGGTAGTATGGATGGGCAAGTTGTTTTTGCTTTTTTTTTTTTAAATTCTACTACTTGCTGCAAAGGTTTTGAGATATTTATATTAAAAACCACAAAAACAAAATTTGAAAAATCTAGCACAAAACATTAAGTGGGGTGTGTAAGGAAAGAACAATTATAAACAGAAATCTGGGCTACGGAAAAACTATTGTAGTTACCACAGAACTTAGCACTAACTATCTGACAGAGGTAAATAAGGACTAATAGTTTTTGTGGTTTAAAGGGCAGAAAACACTCTTAATTATTTCAGGAGCCAAACCTTCATCCACTACACTGAGATCTTATAAGAATTTCTGAGTCAATATAAGAAACTTGAAAAAGTAAAGAAGATTTTATCTTTGAAAACAGTTCTGCCCCAACAGCTGAGCTGTCCTGCACATTGCTATTTCTTATACTTGTCCTCAGTAGGCCGAGGGCAAGGTGCTGCAGTGTAGTTCTCTAAGTCATTTTGTGGGTTTGGATGACTTGTGGGTGTGGAAGCAGAAGCTTGAAGTCTTTTCTTGAAGATGAGGGGGTGAAAGTTGAAGAAGGCATCTGAAGGGATGCGATGTTGCATGGGCCTGCCCTCTCAGAGCTGTGAAGAGAATCCAGGGCACACCCACACTTTTCTTATCAGAGAACCACAGTGCTAAGCCAGGGAGAACCTACATGCTAGAAGAAAGACCTAGATTTGAAAGTAGACCGGTTTTCCTGTTTAGTGAAGCTAGAATATACAAGATCCTGTAGGCATCCTTAAACGTGAGCTAAATTTCACCAGATTTTCTCTGACAACTAGTGTACTTATAACATGTCTCTCATTATCCCTTTATTTTTTACTTGAGGAGAAATCTGAAAAATATACAAACTGAGGGAAAATCCCACCTTTGCATCTTAAGAACATAGCAGGATTATATAACTGCCTATAATAGTGATTTCCTAGGCTTTCTGGGGAAATATCATATTTTCAAACATCAATATATCCATTTCTTGGAAGAAATCAGTCCAAATTGTTTTATAATACCATTATTTGGATTTTAAAGCAAATATTTTGGAGAAAATCCAAATCATCTGGCAATCTCTAGTAGCTCCCCTCACACATGGGATCTACAGACAGAGGGTGCCCTTGTGTTTTAACATGTCCTCTCTATTTTCTCTCAAAAACCTTATAGTCTTGACCAACACAGAGTAAGGCAAAGGTAGGTGCCAACCTGGCTCCACTGCCTAAGTAGACTAGCATTGCCCTTAAGACCCTGACCCCTGATCCCATCAGAAGCAGGGGACACCAGTAGGAAGCTATCCCAGGAGGGAGCAACGGGAGAGACTTTAAATACCGTCCAGTGCCTGGGTGGCATTTGTTGAAAGTGGGGTGTGTGAAAATAGCCACAACTTGTTCTTAAACCCATTTCTCCTCTTTCCCCCCACAAGTGAGCATCTGCAATTTAATAGGATAGGACATGAAGTCTGGAGTCATCTCTGAAGTTCTGCTCTAGGTAGAGGAAAGGGCTTAGTGGAAACTTTCCATCCTTGGGCAAAGCTGTGTCTGGTCAGTGGTGACACTGACACTGAATAACAAACTGACACTGAATAACAATCAACTCAGTAGGGAGTTATATAGGTCAGGGGGTACCTTCAGGAGCAGTTGGTACTTGGTGATCCTCTGAACAGGCTTAATCAGGTAGGAAGAGATGGAGTTGGCCAGACCATGCCGCTGTTGTATCTCCTACAGGGATGAAAACAGGCACCCTTAGACACAGAGGGAAACGTGCAAGTGTGTGTTCTGGGAAAAAGTGGTGGGGTAAGAAGAGAGGGGAAAGAAAAAGCATAGACAGTTACAAGAAAATGTTATTTGATGGGAAGATGGGAGTAGAAAAAGAAAACAGGAGAGACCAAGGTACCTCTATAAATGGAGAAAAGGGGAGAGATAGCAAAAGGGGAGACATTTTAGGGAAAGAAAGCAGATATTTCATGAAATAAAATGGAGAAAGAGCACATGAAAAAATGCTCATCGCTACTTATGAGGCAAATGCAACTCAAAACAACAATGAGATACCACCTCACATTCATGAGGATGGCTCTGATAAAAAAAGACCAGAAAAAAAAGGTGTTGGTGAGGGTGCAGAGAAATAGGAATCTTCTTACACTGTTGGTGGGAATGTAACTTAGTCCAGCCCCCATGGAAAATAGTAGGGAGGTTCCTCAAAACATTGAAAATAGATCAAATGACCCAGCAATTCCCTTTTAGGTATCTACACAAAGAATGCAAAAACAGTAATTTGAAGGGAAGTGTGTACTCTTATGGTTCACTGGAGCACTATAAATGGAAACAACCACAGATGAGTGGATTAAGAAGATGTGGTATATGCACACAATGAATACTACTCAGCTATAAAAACAGATGAAATCTTAGCATTTGTGACAACATATATGGAATTGGAGGAATGACGCAAAGTGAAATAAGTAAGGAGGAGAAAGACAAATAATGGATGATTTCACTCACATGTGGAATATAAAGAAATAAAGCAGAGGAACAGGCAAAACTAAACTCTAAATCCAAACAAACCCTTGAATCTGAAGGTAGAATTGAGGCCATCAGTGGGGGAGTAAGGAGGTAGGAGTTAAGATGGGATGGGGCCCAGTGGACTCTGGTGGAGGATAATGGGTGCTTAGGTGGTGGGTGTTGTGTGGTAATTTTGTGTGGTAATTTAAAAAAAAATTCTATTTTCCACCAACTATTCCAGAAAGGAGCAATTTTCTTACTCATTTACCTCGTCCCTAGAGGTGCACAGTTAGAGCAGGAATTCTCCAACGATGATGTGCAAAACAGTTGGCAGTGTCAGTCTCTTTGGCCAAAGGAACATTGTGGGTTTATTTGGGAGCTCTGGCAAGAGAGGGTAAGCAATAATGCACCTCTGACACTCTTGCCTTACTGATAATATGCCTGGCTCTGGGAAGGTTGCCTGTGGAACAGCGAGAAGAGGGCTATTTCCAGTAACTAGGTCAGATAAACCAAGCTTAGTAATCAAAACAGCAACAGACATCCATTGTGTATATATACCACATATATGCAAGTGTATATTCAACAGTATTCTATTATGTATATATACCACATCTTCTTACAGCTCTCACATCTACAGTAAGAAGTTCTGGATCATGTGAATATGTGGGCTTCTCTGAGGCCACAATTTTCTGTCTTCTCTTTGCAATAATGGATAAGACGATTACCTTTATTAAGGTCTATCTCTTATAGAGTAGGGCCTAAAGCACATGGAAACGCTTCTGGAGGAATGAAAAAAAGCTACCAAGATTATGCTTTTTGAAAAATTTTTGGAACAATTAGAAGAATTTATTTTTCTCTCTTTACACCTCCAAGCCAAATTCCAGGAACTCCTCCTGGATTGGTTTTCTGGTCTCCATTTGGAGTTTTCAACTAACATAGAGGTTTATTGGATGTGATGTGGGAAATCTGGGATATATTTGACTTATCAAAGTCTAAAAATTGGCTTGCATAGGGATGTGAGGAGTATAGGACTACAGGAAAATAAAGCTTAGGACCAGGCACTGTGATATGTATAAATATAAAACAGGCAAATCATCAGTTCATTTCTCAAAAGGCTTACTGGTGGTGAGGAGAGGTGTGTATTACATTGTTAACTTACCAAAATCTAAATCATTACAAATACTAGAATGAGATACAAGGTATAATGTATACATAGAGAAAGGGAAAGATTCATGAAGGAAGTAAAATTTGAGTTTTAAAGGATGAGAAGAATTTTGAAGAGTGATTGTGCATGCGTATGCATGTGTGTGTGTGTGTGTGTGTGTGTGTGTGTGCCAAAGGTACAATCCATCTTAAGCAGAGAGAGCAGTGTGAATAAAGTTAAGGAAAGCAGAAAAGTTCAACCCATGCCTAGAACACAGGACATGCACATTCAAAAAAATGCTACATGGAAGACAGGGTACATTGCATTAAAACTTCAAAAAAGGTCATTCTGCATACTGTTGATGAAAACTCAATCAGAAACATCTTAAGGGAAATATATTATTTAGCAAAGACAATACTAGTAGAAAGAATTCAATATGTTATCAAATCAATTTTGATAGGTTAGAGAAGTACTTTAATTGTGTTTTGGCAAATCTAGCCTCAGAAATTCTGATTTGGGACATTTTAGGATCATTTTCAGATTAATGGTCCATATAAAAAAATCATGTTATGTTTTTTCTCAGCTGGCTTTCTCCCTTCAAGTGTCATTTTTTGGCTAAGCAACAAGACACTTATAGAATCACCTCTGTGATGGCATTGTCAAGCGGCAAAGATGCTCAGAGAAGGTTTATTTTCTCATTTGAGTACAGAAGCTATGTTTAAATGCCTTTATGTGTCCAATGGAGTCTAGCACAATATTTTGTATATAATAGACATTCAAATATTTATGGGAGGGAATAGAGCAAGTAGGCAGGAAGTTAGATGTACTGATAGACATTTGAAAGTTCTGCATTTTAAGTTTCCATCATTTTCTGATATGACTACCAGACAGGCCATCACTGCAACTGCCTGTCTTTCCCTGAACTTTCCTTTTGCTCCATCTCCCCTCTCTGATTCATCATTTGCATCCTGCAATGACCCATTTGACTCTGTTTACTTGACAGTCAATATATCACTCATAGGGGTCTATAAAGACTCATATCATCATTCACCAACAGGATTGGATCCTTATTCAAAACCAAAGCATAGGACAAAGCCTACTGACCCCGATTCATCTTAGTTTCCATTACAGCACAAATGTGCAACCTGTTTGTATGTTCCTCCATCTGGAAACTTTAAAAAACCTCAATGTCCAGGCCAAATTCAGACCAATCATTTCAGAATCTCAGAGGAGAGACCCAGAAATCAGTATTTTTTTAAAGTCTTACAAAAGATTCCAATGTTTAACCAAGGTTGAGTTTTTTTTTTTAGTGATTCTCAAACTGGAGTAGGCTTCACTCTGATGCCAGGTGACTCTACCTGGAGGGCTCTTTAAAACAGATTGTTGGGCTCAATCCCAACCAGAACTAGAGATTCTGATTCAAAAGATCTGGAGGGGATACACAAATTGTATTTCCAATACCAATCTCAGGTGATGCTGATGTGGTTGATCTGAGGACCACAGTTTTAGAACCCCTATATTTGAGGGAAAGGTATCTGAAGTAGAAGTGAAACATCTTAATACCTGCCTCATGAAGACCTCTGTGAAACATGAGCTTTATGGCAAGCTAGGTTTAATGTTGAGGCAGAGACAAATGTGTCTTGTAGAAAATCAAGAGATGAGATGGGGTCGGGTAAAGCACTGACAAACACTGCTTTTGTAATCCCCCATTTTTTATGTTGTGGGCGGCTAGTAAAGAAAAACAAGGTAGAAAAGATCGCTAAAAAGCCATTATCTGAAAGTAGAGAAGCATTCCACATGCTCAATGGCCAAAGAATGGAAAATCACAGCTTACATCAAAGAAGGTGCCTGCATGCTCCAGGATCAGCTGGTTGGAGTCAGGTTTGTTTTTACAGTAGGTGACATACATCTGAAATTTGTCTGCCTAAAAAGAACAAAGAGATCAGCATCTATTAGTTGCTCCCTTCTTTCCATTGAGCCTCAAGGACCCAGCTATAGATACCAGTGTTTGGATTCTTTGTGGCAAGTGGTCTGGGCTCATCTGGCCTATGCTCTCCTAAAAATCTTGGCATGCTTTCCTCATTTCAGCAATGCAGAAAGCTTGTTGAAAGTGAACTCATTTAGACACTAGTCCAAACTAGGAAGAATCAGAAAAACGAACTGACATATCATAGTGTATGCCGAAGTTGTACAGATTTATTTGGAGATTATCCCCCTTTCTGGATTACCTAAAATTGTTTCCCATCTTGAAACAATGACATGTTTGCTCTAAAATAAAAAATCAAAGAATAAAAAATGAAGTATAATTTTAGAGGTAGATCTGTTCATATTCCAAATGTCTCCACTCAAGGGGGGCCTCCTTGGTGGTGTAGGCGGTTGAGCACAGTGCTGTGAAGCTGTCTGCAGCCTCTGCAGTGCCAGTTCGATCCCCGCCAGCCACGGAGCAACCCACATGGCGCAGCAGACCTCTCCTATCTCGCCAGCTGCTCCCTTCAGCAGTGTATTTCGGTCATTCTGCCTGTTCTGTTCCCCGCTCTGTCTCTGGTGAATCCTCTCACCCTCCCGCACATCTGCCTGTACCCTGGTTCTTGTATTAATAAATCTTAACAAACAAACAAACAAACAAAAAATAAGTCAAATGTCTCCATTGGGGGTGAGTTTTTAGGGTATGTCAAGTAGCAGAGTGACCCTTTGGGGCAGGGTCTGAGCAAATAATTCAGACCCAGATTGTTACTTCAAGACAAGAAACTTACAACTCCTTGAAAATTTCTTTCTTTCTTTCAGGACCCTCTGGGTTAGTGTTGCATACCCTTTTTATTGGGAAAGGTGTGTGTATTTCGCTATGAAGTATTTCTATTCTTAAAATGTTGCCCATCTTGCTGGCTACAGAACATTTGGGATGTCTTCTGAGAAAGCAGCCTACATATCTGTTATTTATGGCAGGTTTCATTTATGTCAGCACTTTTCTAATTGCTTTATGTATATTAACTCATCTGGTTCTCATAAGATCTTTATGTGGTGGTTCCCATTATTTCCCCATTTTCCAGATATAAAAACTGCTGCATAGGTTGGTTAAATGACCTAAAATCCCCAATTAGATTGTACAGGCATCTGACTCCAGGCTCCTTGGTAGTAGCCATACCTTTTAATACATTGTGAACAACTCTGTATACTTCATTTCCACACCACTCATTTATTTAGATCATGAGACTTAAGAAAGTCACCTTAGGATAATCCTTGGCAAAAGATACATGTTTTATGCACCAAAGCTTTTCTGAAACCAATTTTAGAGTTTATCTACCACCTACAAGGCATTTGTCATCCCTAAAAGATATTGACTAATCATACTTATGGTTGATTTTAAGGCAAATACACAAATTGTATGACACAAAGTGCAAAAAATATGTTTGCTTAATGGTCAATTTTGTTTTTTCTCTACATTGCCTGTATAAGGGATCATAAATTATTTATTACCATTAATGAACTGTGAATGAGCTCATGGACTCAGGGTATTCTAATGCAAATTAAACAGCAGTCTGAGACTTCTTTAATAAATGAGAGTATGCCAGGAAGCAGACATTAAGGTACCATGAAGAGAAAACAATTCAAGTCTTGAGTTGTGGGACTAGTTGGGATATTTATAACAAGTGCCTAGGCAGCCTATCTCATCTCATCTCATGCAGAAAATCTAAAGTAAAACCATCACCCTTCCTATTTTGTAGGGATAATGAGTATGAACTCTCTAAATCATAAAGTCATTTTGAAAGTAATTAGCCCATTTTGAGCGGCAGTTATAATTAGATAATTACTAAGTATTAGAACTCTTGACTCTGGGTAAGGATATCATGTTTAGTTGCACTTCGTGTCCTAGGTGGACTTCCCTGGAGATATGTACACTCATATCATGAACCTGAGCTCAGAATAATGTGGAATAGAGGTGCTAATGGAAACTAATGTTTTCCTATATGAAATTAGAATTTGGTACATTCACTTTTACTTGGCCTATGACAATAGCATCAAAAGAGAGAATGACTAGACATACATCTCACAGGTCAGAATTGGGATGAATACTCAAGCAGTCTGTTCTCCATTAAGGAAAAAAAATGTAATTGGTGATTAGGCGGATTCCTCACATTCTAGTTCCCTAAGCTTCCTCCTGTAAAAGTAACTAGTTGGAGCCACTGAGCAACTATCCCAAGGATAGTGGTGGTCTTGTTGTACTCTCCTGATAGACATTTCACTTTTAGAATATTGTTAGAGAACTTAAGATGGTTCTCAAGCACAATATCTGTTTCCCAAGGAGGTGTCCTCTCAGGGCTGGGCTGCTCTTGTGGCCCCTCTCAGCAGCCCCTCACACTGCATTAGCGTGGCACTGACACCAATCCTCAGGTCAGGCACTGAACAGTGATACCATCTGGTGCCATTTGCACTCTGGGGCAGCAGGAGAAGGATTTCAGGTAGGTTACCCAGGTAACAAAGCAGTGTCCCACATCCTCAGGCAGCTGCTCGTACTTCTCCAGCTCTTTAAGGAAGATGCTGCAAGGGCAAAGAGAGACTGAATCAGATCCCCTGTACTGCTAACCACCCCAGAGGGTTATACTGAGACCAACACAACCCTGCCAAACCCTCAGTTATTTACATGTGACTTCTCTACTTTCTAAGTGATATGTAGTAAGGCTCTAGATAGGTTAAAACTACTTTTATTAAAATATATTAATTTATTAACCAGTGCTACTTAAAATACTGTTGTTTCTCTCAATTGTTTATATTTCTCAGGCTGAAAATAATTAAATATTCTACTTATATTGGCCTTTCATTTTAATAGCAATTATAAATCTTTTTTTAATATAAGTAATCTGAGCACATTAGAAAATTAATCTGTATATCAGAAAGAATAAAGCAAATATAATCCACAATATTAGAGTTAATGTGGAAAAATTTTGAATCCAACAATGCCTTCTAATTCTTAGCCTTCTTCTTCCATCAGTAGCCAGTTAGTTTATGCTAAAAACTATAGTTAATGTTTCCTAATGCAGACATCATCAGGAAAGAAAATTTAATGGAGAAAAATCATAATCTATTTCAAAGCTGAATTGAGTTACTACTGAATTATCTACCATTGGGAATATCTGTGCCATGACATCCTTCCGTGTTAGTAAATAATAGTTAACCATACCAACTTCAAATTAATACACTAAATAATTGGTTTAAACTCAGAATACATGCTCTGATAAACCAACATGACTGGAATGCAGTTTGTTTTTTTAAAATCACACAATGTTTTTCAAATAATTATGAAGCTGTGGGGAAATATATCAATGGAAATAGAAGATGGTATCAACATAATCTTTACAAAGAGCAATTTGACAATAAAAATGTATCTTTTGGCAGAAATAAATGAAATTGAAACTAAAAAAACAATCCAAAAGATCAATGAAACCAAGAGCTGGTTCTTTGAAAAAATCAATAAAATAGACAAACCCCTAGCCAGGCTCACAAAGGAAAAAAGGGAGAAAGCACAAATAAACAGGATCATCAATGAAAGAGGAGAAATCACAACGGACACAGCAGAAATCAAAAGAATAATCAGTAACTACTATGAACAGTTATATGGAAACAAGTTTAACAATCTAGAGGAGATGGACAAATTCCTACAACTCTACAATCACCCAAAGCTAGATAAAGAAGAAATAGAACACCTAAACAGACCAATTACAATTAGCGAAATTGAAATGGTAATCAAAAACCTCCCCAAAAACAAAAGCCCAGGACCTGATGGATTTACAAATGAATTCTACCAAACATTCAGAGACGAATTAGTGCCTATCCTTCACAAACTCTTCCAAAAAATTGAGAAGGAAGGGACAATACCAAACACGTTCTATGAAGCCAACATTACACTAATACCAAAACCGAACAAGGACAACACAAAAAAGGAAAACTACAGGCCAATCTCCCTAATGAACACTGATGCAAAAATCCTCAATAAAATTTTAGCTATCAGAATCCAACAATGTATCCATAAGATAATTCACCACGACCAAGTTGGATTCATTCCAGGGGCACAAGGATGGTTTAACATCCGAAAATCAATCAACGTTATCCAACACATCAACAAAAAGAAATATAAAAACCATATGATAATATCAATAGATGCTGAGAAAGCTTTCGACAAAGTGCAACACCCATTCATGATAAAAGCCCTTGAAGTTCTTGGGATACAAGGAACATACCTCAACATCATAAAGGCCATCTATGACAAGCCAACAGCCAGTATCATTCTCAATGGTGAAAAGCTGAAAGCAATTCCATTAAGATCTGGAACAAGACAAGGATGTCCACTCTCACCATTGCTTTTCAATATAATACTGGAAGTCCTAGCCAGGGCAATAAGACAAGAGAAAGACATCCAAGGAATCCAAATAGGAAAAGAAGAAGTCAAACTATCACTATTTGCAGACGATATGATATTATACATAGAGAACCCCAAAAACTCCACAGAAAAGCTAATTCAACTCATCAATCAGTTCAGTAAAGTGGCAGGATACAAAATCAACACGCAAAAGTCAGTAGCCTTCCTATACACAAACAATAAATCTGAAGAAGAAGAAATCGAAAAGACCATCCCTTTTGTTATTGAAACAAAAAAAATCAAATATTTGGGAATAAATCTAACAAAAGAGGTAAAGGACCTATACAAAGAAAACTATAAAACACTGTTAAAAGAAATAGAAGAAGACACAAAGAAATGGAGAGACATCCCCTGCTCATGGATTGGAAGAATAAACATTATTAAAATGGCCATCCTTCCAAAAGCAATATACAGATTCAATGCTATTCCAATCAAAATTTCAATGTCATTCTTCAAAGAAATAGAAAAATTATTGATGAAATTCATATGGAATCACAAAAAACCCCGAATAGCCAAAGCTCTCCTGAAAAAAAAAAAGGGAATGGAGGCATCAGACTCCCAGACTTCAAACTATACTACAAAGCCATAATCATCAAAACTGCATGGTATTGGAACAAGAACAGACATACAGACCAATGGAATCGAATAGAAAATCCAGAAATAAACCCACAGATTTATGGTCAACTAATCTTTGACAAAGGAGCAAAGACTATGCATTGGAGCAAAGAAAGTTTGTTCAATAAATGGTGCTGGGAAAACTGGGTCGCTACATGCAAAAGAATGAAGCTTGACCACCACCTCACACCATACACAAAAATCAACTCAAAATGGATTAAAGAACTAGACATAAGACCTGAAACCATAAAATATATAGAAGGAAATATAGGCGAAACACTACGTGATTTGCACATCAAAGACATCTTTACAGACACATCACCCAAAGCAGTGATAGTGAAGGCAAAGATAAACAGCTGGGACTATATCAAATTAAAGAGCTTTTGCACAGCAAAAGAGACAATAACAAAAACAAAGAGAAACCCCACCAACTGGGAGAACATTTTTGCACCCAACACTAATGATAAAGGACTGATCACAAAAATCTGCAAAGAGCTGATGAGACTCAACAACAACAAAGAAAATAATCCAGTCAAAAAATGGGCAGAAGAGCTTAAAAGAAACTTCTCTGAAGAGGAAATGCAAATGGCCAACAGGCATATGAAAAAATGTTCAACATCACTTGTCATCAGGGAAATGCAAATCAAAACTACCATGAGATACCATCTCAAACCAGTGAGAATGGCACATATTAAAAAAACTAGCAACAACAAATGTTGGCGAGGGTGTGGAGAAAAAGGAACTCTTCTGCACTGTTGGTGGGAGTGCAAACTGGTCCAACCTCTGTGGAAAGCTGTGTGGAGATTTCTGGACCTACTAAACATAGAGCTTCCATATGACCCAGCAATTCCACTCCTAGGTATTTACCCAAAGGACACAGAAACATCAATTCCAAAGAACACCTGCACCCCTATGTTTATAGCAGCACTGTTTACAATAGCTAAGCTTTGGAAACAACCCAAATGCCCAAAAATAGATGACTGGATCAAGAAGATGTGGTACATATATACCATGGAATATTACTCAGCATTCAAAAAAGATAAACACATGCAATTTGCTGCAACATGGATGGCGCTGGAAGGGATCATGCTCAGCGAAATAAGCCAAAAAGAAAAAGAAAAATACCGGATGGTCTCACTCATAGCAGGAATCTAGAAAACTTAAATAATGGACCAGGAAAATGAAAAACTATAAGAAAGTGAAAATCAAAATCAACAAAAAACTATGAACCAGAGACACTTTTAGGGGGGCGGGGGCGGGAGGGGAGGGATTGGGGTCAGAATGGGGGCGGCAATTGTATGGGGAATATAACAATAAAATTTATAAAAAAAAAAAAAAAAAAAAAAAAAAAAAAAAAAGAAAAGAAAGCAAATGTTAAAAAATGAACAATGATGTAAAATATATATAAATAATTTTTTAAATAAAAAAATAATTAGAAAAAAAAAAAAAATGTATCTTTTGTTTTTGTAATTTTAACTCTGGAAAATCTCCTATAGTTGTAGCCACTCATACATAAGATGAAGTACACAGTGGCACTCACTGTGGCACTGTTCACAATAGCAAAAGATGGTGTGCAGGCTATCAAGGATGTAAACTACGGTACATACACCAACTAAATAGTAAGTGCATTGCTTTCTATGTTTTCATATGAAAGATCTCCAGGGCTGACTGTTAAGCAAAAAAAGCAAGGCATTAAAGATTGTATAGAATATGCTGTCTTTTGTCTAAGTTGGGAATATATATTCTTATTTCCCACCCAGGAAACTAATGGTCAAAGGGTAAAATTTCGGTTATGCAAGGTAAGTTCTGGAGATCTACTATACAGCTAGAACCTATAGGTAATAATACTGTATTATATACTTTATGTTAGATCTTTGCTAGTTTTTCTGTTAAGTGTTCTTACTACACAATAATAATAGTAGTAACAACAACAATAGGGATGGGAGGAATCTTTGGGAGGTGATGGACAGGTCTCTGACTTTGATGGTGGCGATAATTTCATGGGTATGTATTTGTCCCTAAACTCATTAAGTTGTGCATATTAAATATATACAGCTCTTTACATGTAATCATACTTCTATAAAGTGGTTTTTTAAAAAGTCATTACCATAGGAAACCAGGTGAAGGAACAGGGTGGGGAAGATAGTAATGGATAGGATTTCTCCACTTATGCTTTTTATTTAATTTTAAAATAAAATTAAAAATTTGATTGAAAGAAAGCAGTTTTGAATTATTCCACTACTTACCTCTACTACTGGAAAAAAAAAGTGTTATTGATTTGACTTTACCTTTGTCCAAACATCCTGGCAGTACCTTGTATTACAACTGGTTATGGATTATATGTATGTGTTATTGGTTCTTTCTTCAGTGGAATTGAAAAAATGTTGTTTTAAATTTAAATATTTAATACAAATATGCAATTAAAAATTTTTGCAAGTCATATTTGAAAGACCAAAATGCTAATAAGAATTGATGAGATTATTGATAGTTTTCTTTCTGTCCATGTGCA